ACAGGTCTGTTTACTAAAATTACACCACCACGTTGTTTTAGATCTCTTTCTACAGCCCAATTTGTCATTTGGGTGATTTAAATTCCAATATTATAAAATGTTATCAAATACTATATATTATTCTCTATAATAAGTTTATATACCAAAGTTAATTATATTTTACAACTAATAAATCAATACCATGTCAGGTCAAACTTATTTAAAGCTTACCAACAACTCTAAGATTTCTCACTCTATATATACCTTTATCCTATATTGTGTATTGATGTTGAGAGTTCCAGTTAATCTAAATCAACCATATTTAACAATCCTTAGAATTATTATATGTTCAAGACACTCTAATCAGTTAATACTTATATCTATAAAAAGCAATTTACCTTTATACCTAAATTTATAAATATTGTAGAGAGAAAGAAAAGACTAAGAGAGAAAGGGAGAAAGAGAGGGTGTGGAAGGAAAAGGGTATTTTAGATTTTGAGGGGTTGCTAGACACGTGTCTGTGGAATTGGTACCAAAGGAAGACAAATCTGAGTTGAGGCTGGCATTTCTGCCTTATAGTCTTTCTTCCTGGGCGAGCCAGAGGAGCAAAGGGAGGAAGTGCTGACTAATTGCTCTCAGCGCTCCGTGATCAGTCTTTACCAGGCTTCCATCTGTCCCTTTCCTTCTTCTTCTTCCTTCTTCTTCTTCCCTTCTGCCAGCAATTATCAGTCCACTGTCACTTTGTCGCTCCAAATCAGTCACGTTAGAAATCAGTTTTGTAAGCAATGTTGCTAACAGGCAGAAAACCTTTCACATAAGAGTCAGCGGATCGGTATCCCACTCTCTGTGCCCCGCTCTTCCCTCCTTCGCAGCTATAATCCTTTTCTAATCTTCTGGTCTTCTCAGGAACTGGTCTCAGATGGCAGCCCCCTCACAAGCCTCTTGAATTCCCCACAGCCTTCTTCTCTTCCCAGCAATCTCCTTCCGAACACTCCAATCCACACTTTCACTTTAAGTAATGAGCCTCTCTGCCTGCTTTTGTCCCCCCTTTCACTTTTCAGACCGCTTTTCTAGCCGCTTATCTCCAGCTTCCGACAACTGTTACTCACATCAAAACAGGGAGGATCAGACACCGATTTCTGTCACAACTTTTATAGTCCTTCCGCCCTTTTCTGCTCAGATCTTTCAGGCTGTCACACTTCGCCTCGTCAGTTCAGTGACAGGCCGGACTTTGGAGCCACCATTTGCTGGAGGCTGGCTCGTTCATGCTGGTCTCAGAGGCTCTTCCTTTGTTGCTGGGGGGTTGCCTTCCCCCAAACAGCAACCTGGGGTCCTCTATGCTGACACGAAGCTCTACGGGTTTCATGTATCCACTAAGGATCACTCCAAACACGAGAAGAGGTGTTTGAAAGCCACAGCTGGGCTTCTCCACCTCTGGACGTCCCTGTCCTGTCACCCTCTGCATGCAATTCTTATAAGTTATTTTGACATTCTTTTTATTAAGCAAAGTAGTGGTTCAGGTGCTGGCCTAGAAACCAAGAGACTCTGAGTTCTAATCCCATTTTAATCTTGAAAAAAATGACTGAGTGACCAGCCATTTTCTGCCAGCCCAAACTGTGTCTTAGATTGTGGTTGTGGGGAAGCTAAGAGGAGCAAGGAATATTAGATAAGTTATCCACCTTGAGTTCCTTATAAAGTAGTAAAGACAGGATAAACATCTAACAAAATAAAGAAATCATTTGTGAAAATGATGTCCTTCTAAAGGAGAGGGGTGCTGACTGCCTAGTCACATGCCTTACATTACTGGATTTATTTCATTTTTATCCACTTTATTTTTCTCTACTTTTTGGTTTATTCTCTAATGATGGCATAGCCTGTGAAATTCTTACTTGTCTCACATGCTTGGGTTATGTGGAAAAACATCAGATAAACACAACCATGTAACTGACAGGCAATGGCAGCAGAAATCACTAAGCGGCTACATTAAGACAGAAAGGTGGAGGCAAGGGTGAAAAAAGCAGAGGATCTCAGGGAGAAGAGAGCTGAGACATTCACCAAAAGTGATTGTAAAATGTTTGTAAACCAATTGTAAAACCAACTGTTTTATTGTAAACAGTTTACAAACCATGTTTGTAAAATGTTTGTAATCTTGTCCTTCTTCCTGAAGGTCGCATCCCTAGATGAGTGACTGATGGGTTTCCTGGATGTTTCCCCGCCCTAATCCTGTCAGTTTCTGTTGTTTATCGACTTTATTCAAGGCATGTGTCAGCTGTTATCACAATGAAGTAGCCTGTTAAGTGGTTCTTGGCTGTCATCCCAGAGTTATTAACTGAAGGGAAGAGGGGAACCCACCTTGCACTTTATTTTTAGCTGGTTCTCTGAACTGCACAAGCAGTTAGCTACCAGTTTGGGTGAAACAGTGCAAATATGCTGAATCCCACCACTGCTCCTAACTCTGTTAACCTATTAATTAGAGGTGCTCTGTGAGTGAGTGACATCTAAATAGAGTATATATTAACATAAACAAATAATAAAATGTTGGGACGCTCCCAACCAGGAAAGGAGGAAAGATCAAGTGGGAGTTAGCCTCAGTGTGTCCACAATGACTTGACCTCCCCCCAAATACCATAGAGTCAGGTTAATCTTATCTATTATTCCCAAGGAAAGGGATGTTAACTGGGCAGATTCTTGTACTATGGGTAGAACATAGTAAAGTAGACAGTTTAAATTCTTCATGTGTGAATCTGGATGCTGTGCATTACAATTTATTTTACATTCCATTAATAATGAATCAACCATATTGTTTTCCTTAAATGTTTGGGCGAAAAACACAAATTATATTTTTGAAACAATTTTCCCCTTCCAGAAATGAATTTCAGGTAAATTGATTTGATATATAGTTTTTTTATTCCTTTGGCGCAAGCAGTTTTTAAAAGGGTTGTTAATTCTGTAACTAAAATGAGATATGACACTTATTAAGGATACAATGAATGATTTTTATCCTTCTGGAATATCTGCAAATCTTGGGCTCTGCAGTGGTTTCATTCATTCCTACAATGCTTATTTCAGTCTTTAGTTGTGAGAAAGGCAAGATCATCATAGAGACTGCTCCCCTGAGAGTTCCAGGTGATTTGGGTTTTTTTCCCCATGATTGAACTTCTACATAAAGCCTCTGGATGAGGTAATCCAGTGGTTTTGATTGAATGACATATTTGAATAATCCAACAGTTGGCCCAATCCAACAAAATGAAATTTAATGTGGAGAAAAGCAAGGTTTTACACTTAGGCAGGAAAAACCAAAGGTACAAGTACAGATTAGGTAAAATCTGGCTCAAAAACAGTAACTGTGAGTAACCTTGGACAATCACCTAAATATGAGCCAGCAATGTGCAACAGCAGCAGCCACCAAAAAGCTAATAGAATCCTTGGTTGTTTAAACAGAGGCATAAAATCAAAATCATGTGAAATATTAGTGCTGCTGTATAAAAACTTAGTAAGGCCACACCTGGAATATTGCATCCAATTTTGGCTATCACATTATCAAAAATATGTTGAGACCTTGGAAAAAGATGTAGAGATGAGCAACTGATGATCAAAGGCCTGGAGACTAAAACATATGAAGAATGGTTGCAGAATTTGGCTTTGGCCAATCTAGAGAAAAGAAGGACTAGGAGTGACATGATAACAGGATTCCAGTATTTGAGGGACTGCCACAAAGAAGAAGGGGTCAACTTATCTTCCAAAGCACCAGAGGCAAGACAAGAAACAATGGATGGAAACTAACCAAGGAGAGAAGCAAACTGGAATTAAGGAGAAACTCCTTAATAGTGAGAACAATTAACTAATGGAACAACTTGCCTTCAGAAGTTATAGGTGCTTCATCACTGGAGGATTTTAAGAAGAGACTAGCCGTCACTTCTCTGGAATGGTTTAGGGTTTCCTGCTTGAATATGGGGTTGGCCTAGAAGATCTCCAAGGTTTCTTCCAGTTTTATTCTGATTGAGTTATCATCAATAACATGAAAACAAATGGCAAGATATTTAGTAGCCTTGGCTAGCCAGATCTCCCTGTAGTAAGTCTGCCCTTATCTATGATTTCATCTTCCATGAAAGGCAGAGCAAATTTTTAACTTGTTCCAGTTTTTATTAAACACAATCGTCTAGCTATTAAGTACAATTAAGGAGACTATTTCAGAAAACATTCTCCACATTTAGCAGTTGAATGAAGCTATAGAAAAAAATACTATGCAAATCAATATGTATATAACTAACTAAATTTTTAAATCAACATACCTATAGATAAACATGTATGTAACACTGACAGATTCTGTCCTTTTTTCAATGTAGGGTCCCAGGTTTTTAGATTTGATCACTCTCTTAAGCTTGAAGCATTTTGTGTTAATTTTTATGGATGATAAATTCTTTAATTCTTTTTCAACAATCATTTTTCTACAATATGACTCATTATGTCCTAAATTGGAAAGAAGGCTTGTTAAACCATCTGAGAAATTGCAAGATTTCTTAGCAAGATTTGTTATTTTTGTTATGGACTTGTTGGAGCTTGAAATAATTAGAGCCATAAGCAATTAACAAAAACCAATAAGAGTTTAAGTATATTGAAAATTTAGAAATAAAAAGAACTAATGGCAGAAAAAGACCTAGTGCTCCACCAAATCTGCCCCTTGAGGTATTTATATTGTATTGTGTTAGGCTGTGTTGTATTGTATACATTGTATTTATTATATATTATATTATTACATTATAAAAATAATTCAGTCATGAAAAGTTTTATATTGAAGTTGATGTAAACACTTTAAAATTTGTATTATTTAAATTTATACAGTATAGGCTGACCATGCTTTTTTCAATTTTATTTTCAAAATATAGGATTAAATGCTAACACTTTATTTTTTCTTTATTGTACAGACCTCCCCCATTTCAGTTTGTACAGAGAGCTGCTTCCCTGGTTATTTTAAGAGACAACAGGAAGGAAAACCATTTTGCTGCTATGATTGTCCTCCATGTCCCAAAGATAAAATGTCAATCCAGAAGGGTAAGTTGACTTATAGTTCTGCAGGTTAGCCCAGGCAGATCCATGAACACAGACATATAGGAGCTAAGTTATATGCTTTGTCTATTCAGGACATATCATTCTAGGGCACATTTATTTATTTCTGAATGCATTTAAAACTTTTAGATGTGATTTATAAAAAAAAAAAAAACTACCCAACTTTTAGCAGACTAGATTAAAATAAGATTAAAGCATGTAGTTTCTCTTACATTGAGATTGTGGTACATTTTTTAAAAAATTCCATTCTAATGTCTACACAAACTATTCCACTTGATTCAGAAAGCTTCGGAAATTTTTAATGTAAGGAGAATAAGGAATATATTTCCTTTTGCTCCTTCAGCAAAGTTTGTATATATGGATGTAAATATTAGTTTTATTTTATTATACAGGAATATAAAATTGAAAGACATCATAAAGTATCTGATAGAAGGAAAATACTATTATATTTATTTACATTTATATTATTTTCAATCATAGTCTCTAGGAAACCTTGTGAAGAATTATGTAGTAGTAAAAATAAGAGATACATAGAGATGCACAATATTAAGCAAATATAATGAGTAAGCAACATGAAATGAAGTCATTATTAAGAAGACAGACAAAATCTTTATCTTCATAACTGATCAATAAATGTATATTCAATAAAATGAAGAACACCAAACTATCCCATAACAACAAAATCATTAGCAACCATTTGTGGGTGAAAGCTTTCATAAAGTTTAGCAAAATTGTGCTACTTTCAGAGAAATAATTTTTTCTTGATTGTTAACAAATAGTACAAATAACAGATATAAAATATGATAATATAAAATAGAAATAGAAATTTATGAGTGCACTATGCTGGTGCAGTGATAAGAATGCAGTATTGAATTGCATGCTAATTCTGCTGAGTACTAACTGCCAGCATTTCAGCAGTTCCAATCTCACTGGCTCAAGGTTAACTAAGTGTTCCATACTTCCAAGGTTGGTAAAATCAGGACCCAGATTGTTGGGGGGCAATATGCTGACTCTGTAAACTCCTTAGAGTGGGCTGTAAAGTGCTGTGAAGCAGTATGTAAGTCTAAGTGCTATTGTTTGCTATTGGTATAACTATGATAGCAAATACTTTCACTTTGCCATTTGGGATTTCAGCTCCCAGACAGAATAATGCACACACCCCTTATCACATAACTACCATGTTCTTCTATGTTTGATATTTCTCAAATACAAGAGCAAAAAAATCAGAAAAATAATTAACATAAGGGCTAATCTTACATGCAGAAAACAACTGTATAATTACTAAGAATGATATGACTGTAGAATAAATGTATATGTGTTTATATCTTTCAATTCTAGATATGGATGACTGTTCAAAATGTTCAGAAAGTCAATATCCAAATAAAGACCAAGATTCATGTATTCCCAAGAAAATATCTTTCTTGTCTTATAAGGAACCAATGGGGATAAGTTTAGTTACTCTGGTGTTTTTCTTTTCTCTCTGTACAATTGTAATTCTGGCAACATTTTTGAAGTACCACAATACTCCCATTGTCAAGGCCAATGACCAAAATCTCACCTACATTCTACTAATCTCCCTCCTCCTCTGCTTTCTTTGCTCATTGCAGTTCCTTGTTGTACCAAGCAGTACAATATGTCTCCTCCGACAAATTAGTTTTGGCATCATCTTTTCAGTGGCTGTGTCTTCTGTGCTGGCAAAAACCATCACAGTGATTTTGGCTTTCATGGCCACTAAACCTGGATCCAGTCTAAGGAAATGGGTGGGAAGAAGATTGGCCATTTCCATTGTTCTTTCTTGTTCCTTAATTCAAACAGGAATATGCACAGTATGGTTGCTCACATTTCCACCTTTCCCTGATGTTGACACCCATTCAGAAAGAGAGGAAATCATACTGCAGTGCAATGAAGGCTCCTCTACCATGTTCTACTGTGTCCTGGGATACATGAGCTTTCTGGCAGCTGTCAGTTTCATAGCAGCATTTTTTTCCAGGAAGCTTCCCAGTAGTTTCAATGAGGCCAAATGTCTCACATTTAGCATGCTGATCTTTTGCAGTGTGTGGCTCTCTTTTGTTCCTTCCTACCTGAGCACCAAAGGCAAATACATGGTGGCTGTGGAGGTTTTCTCCATTCTGGCTTCCAGTGCTGGGTTGCTAGGCTGCATATATCTCCCAAAATGTTACCTAATCATTATTAGGCCAGAACTAAACAACAGGGAACAACTAATAAAAAGAAAATCTTTATAATACACAAAAATATCCCTTTTTCATTATTTCTCTCTTTAATATCACTTCTTTTAAGTCTGTTTACTTTAAACCGCTGATTTGGGGTGGGTGGTCAAAATACTCAGGCATGTGTTTGGTATATGAGCAAAGTTTTTAAAATTGATTATAATTCAATTATAATTGAAAATATGAGAAATGAGGAAGTATGGTTCTATTTAAGAATGTACCTCAGAATTTGAGGAAAACTTGATTGGATTCATGTTCAAAAAAATTTAAAGTTTCAAAAAAGAAAAGTTTGTTTCTAATCTCTATGGGGATGTATATGTATATTGGGATACATAATCTTGCCTGGGTACAAATCATATTTTGCAATGTTGTTGTGTAGGTTAAATAGCAATGAACAGTTAAGAAAAATTGTTAACAGTATACACACAAGGACTCCTGTCTATCTCTATACTACTAAAAAATTTCATTATCACTGCATCATAAAGGCACCATTTATCTCAAATAGGGAATATTACAAAATGTGTTCAACATTCAAGACCCATGACTGCCAAGGGAATATATTTGGGAAAGTTATAGCTACTTCAGTGTTACTAGCTGCTGCAGGGCTGCTGAGTTGTCTTATGATCTTCATTTTCAATGTTCCATGACAGTTTCACAGGCAGTCTCATAATCTTTCACTGCCCTCCCAGTAATAGTGACTTACCTGACCATTGAAAAGGGAAGGGAAAGGGAGGGGGAAAGAAGGAAAGGAGGGAAGAAGGGAAGAGAGAGATTTCTGATATTCCCTGACAGATCCTCACATGTAAACTCAATGGGGAAATCAGCAAGAATGTCCCAATTTTGCCTCTTTTGCCTTTGCGTTTAATGTTTTAATATATATTTATATTTGTGGTTTTAATTGGAAGTCACCCAGAAAAATGTTACTTTTCATAGGGTGATGGGCTGCATATCAATTTAATAAATAAATAAATAAACTTGACATACACAAGAATTATAAAATCATCAGGAAAACCCAATAGATAGCCACAAACTCTATCCCCCATGAGGAGAGTCCAAAGTAGTATATGCTAACATGAGCATAATAATGCAAGCATTAAGGGTTTTTATAGACTGCTTAAGGCATTATTATGTTGTATGCTATAGATAGCACGATTGGCAGATATACAGTAAATTGTAAAAAGATAATCATAAAGGTTGGAGAACAATACATGTATAAGACTTTTCTTCAATCATAGAAAAATAGAGATACGTGGAACATCATTAATTCATTCCTTTATGAAACAGAAAATAATTATGTTATAGTTAATAATTATGGTATAATTAAAATAATTAACTGGATTATATTTTTTGAAATATAATGTTTGAATATCATGTTTCTCCCAATCTCACCATCATTATTTAGTATCTTATGTCCATGAAAGAAGATTTCAGATAAAATTGATCAGGAAATACTCAGGAACATGCAGATTTTGTTCATGTATCCCAACAGAGCTTTTTCTTACCCAGTATATTTTATATTTTTTGAAGTAGTCATCTCGAAAACTGTCAGGATAAAGCTGTTTTAGGTGCAACCAACTCATGTTATGCTGATTAGGGATCAAGAGATCTTCTCAGTTATTTTTCCCAGTTTATGTAACAGAACATAAGAATTTTGATTTGACCATAGGCTGTCAGCTTTGGAAGCTATATTAGCACCAGAAGCTTCCACTCTGCCAAATTCCTGTGCCTGGGAAATTGGGAGCTAGGATTTTGTAGAGTGTATGTAATTAGACATAATAGCATTCTTCCTTGCAGTCAAGGTCATGTCTTTCCTGTACTTGGATGATTAATGGTTAGGGGATGTCTCAAGTGGGGACAGATGGTTATTGGACCATGTGATGGACTGCTGTGTGCAGGGGATGGATTTATGTTTTGAAATACTGTGGAAAAATCCAGAACTCTCAGATTTGGGTTTTCCCAGATGTGCCAGTATGATTACTCTAATAAACTGGAACTTTGAGAAAATGCCTGCCTCAGAGTTTTGGTGTTGGAGTTTGTTTTTTCTGGAATGTTGACATAAGCCTTCAAAAGAATCAAAGAGTTCTTACTTTCTCACTTTTTAATAATGCTTAATCTTGCTAGATAATTTTAATATTATTATAATTAACGTTAGTTCAATTTGTTTGCTTTGTTTGAATGTGCTGAAATGGTGGAAGTTTACATGCAAGCTGTCCTGGGACACTTCTGAATCATTCTCTGCAGCATCTTTAAAACAGACATTGTTCTTAAGTGTCACCACTAGATCCACTAGATTTTTGGTAATGGTAATGGGACTTCAATCTACCTCATATTAACTGGACCCTTAATGAATGTACAACTGAACACACACAAGCAACCTTCTACAATGCTGTAACAAATCTGGGACTAGAACAATTAGTAACCAATAATACTAGACTTAATAACTGCCTTGATCTATCTCCTGCAATAGTTTGAATTCAATTTATGGAATACAAATTAAAGAACCGTTTTCCAACAGTGACCACAACATGATTGACTTTTATCTCAACATATGTCCACACAAAAATCATCACAACAATGGAATCCCCGATTATAACTTCAAAAAAGGCAACTATGATCTTATAAACAACAATCTCTCATCCCTTTATTGGCAATTTCTATTCACTGGATGCAATATTGTTGAAGATCATTACATTTTTTTACTTGAAGTCAAAAGAGTCATCAAACTATATGTACCAACAGCAACCCCCCGCCCCCAAAAACCAGATTACCCATAACAATAAGGAAACTTCAATCCAAAAAGAGATCACTCTGGCAGAAAAGCAAATCTGGTCATGTTCCCAACTTCAAAAGTCGATACAAAAACTTATGCCACCAGATAAAGACTGAATCCACCAATTATCACATTAAACAAGAGGAAAACCTTTTAAGCACCAATTCCACCCACACTTTCTACAATTTTGTAAAAACAAACTAAAAGACTCAAGGTCCATCCCACCCCTGAAAGGACCAAATGGTAAAGACTGCAATTATGACACCATTAAAGCCAATCTCTTTAACACATTCTTTGGCTCAGTATTTATAAACAGCAATGGATCAAGCCCAGTATTCCTAGCCAAACCACAGAAAACTACAATGATCTAATACATATCGATTTTACAGAAGACAATGTTGAAAAAGCACTACGCAATCTAAAACCATCTCTATCTATTGGACTGGATGGAATATATGCCTACTTCTTAAAAAAGCTATCCACTGCCATAGCCGAACCTCTAAGCATAATCTTTGAAAAAATCTTTCAGGACCAGCTCCTTGTCAAACCTATGTTCTCAAGCCACGGTCATCCCCATCTTCAAAAAGGGAGACCCCAGTCTCATTGAAAATTACAGACCAATCTCTTTATGCTGCATCACCTGTAAAGCCATGGAATCAATTATTAACCAATCAATTATCCTCCACTTAGAGACAAACAACCTACCCTCTAATATTTGGTTTCAGAAAAAAACTATCCTGTAATCTGCAATTCTTACACTGCAGAAACATATGGTCTACTCAACTTGATCAGGGCAAAGCAATAGACGCAATCTACATAGACTTCTGTAAAGCCTTTGATTCAGTGGTACACAATAAACTACTCCTAAAACTAAAATCTTACGGTATCTCTGGACACCTGCATAACTGGATAGAAGTATTGCTGTCAAACAGACAACAAATGGTCAAAATTGGGAGCGTCCTATCAAATTCTGTACCTGTCAACAGTGGTGTCCCCCAGGGCAGTGTTCTAGGACCAACTCTCTTCATACTCTACATAAATGATCTCTGTGATCATATTAAGAGCAACTGCATTCTCTTCACTGATGATGTAAAGCTATTCAACACCACAGACAATACTGCTACCCTTCAAAAAGACCTTGACTATGTATCAGAATGGTCAAACAAATGGCAACTTCAAATCTCAACAAACAAATGCTCACTCTTACATATCCCTAACATGAGCTCAAGGTGTTGGAAATGCAAAAGCACTGAAGGAACATTTTTCCACACGTGGTGGTCTTGTAAAACTACCCAAAAATTTTGGCAAAAAATCAGAAAATGGTTGGAGGAGATAACTAAAGAACAAATAGTCTATAAATCAGAGTTCTTCCTGTTAGGGATCTCTGATAGATATTTATCCAAAAAGACAAAATATGTAATAATCCATATTCTAACCGCAGCTAGATTAGCCTTTGCTCAATGTTGGAAATTACCTCATACACCTTCAGAGCAAATGGTTATTCAGAAAATTTGTGGGTGTGCTGAAATGGATAAATTAACGATAGCATTAAAAAACAAAGAGTCCTCAACATTTTATGACAACTGGGACTCATGGTATAATTGGCTTACACAGAGACAAATTATGTAAATGATAAAAAGTAACTTAAACATAATGGAAAAGAGGAGTAGATTGGATATGATGAAGAGAAATGATCCTTACAGACTGTCACAAAAAGATATCATTCGTTTTTATTTGTATTTCTACCCTATTCTCCCTCCCCTTCCTTCCCTTCTCTCCCTCTATATCCTTTCTCTTTCCCCCAACCAGCCTTTATCCGATGTGCTAGGCCGGGTGTTTTCCTTCTTTCCCTCTACCCGTTTTTCTTTCTACTTTGTAAATGTATTGTCGATGTGTTTTTAAATAGTAAATTTAATAAAATCTATTTTTTTAAAAAAAAAGACCTTGACTATGTATCAGAATGGTCAAACAAATGGCAACTTCAAATCTCAACAAGTGAATGCTCTGTCCTACATATTGGCAAAAAAAAAAAAAAAATCAGAAAATAAAATACAGGCTGAATAGTCAAGACCTTGTTGATGATCCAAACTCTGTCAAGGACCTTTGAGCATTCATCTCTAATGACCTAAATGCTAGAGCCCACTGTAACTACATAGCTAAAAAGGCATTAAGAGTTGTTAACCTAATCCTATGTAGCTTTTCTCTGGTAATATCACACTGCTAATGAGAGCATACAAAACATTTG